AAGCTTGGGCAACCCGACAGTAGCTCGGATCTCATGCTTCCCTTCGAGCAGTACGACATTTATGCACTGAACGGGTGTTAGAGCTGACAGATCCATCGTGATTCTATGGTAACAATGAGTAGGTGAGTTTTTCCACATCAGGTGTCAGTCTACCACTTCCGCCATGCATTCCAGTAAACAAGGCCGAAGAAAATATAGGTGAACCGGTTTTGAAACTCGTGAACCTGTTGTTTTCAGCACACTTCTACTTTATTCCACATTGTGGTATGTGCGTACGCTTTTTAACCGACTGCTCAACAGTTTCGTTGCACGAACTACCGTACGGTGTTTCTTGTTTCTTTCAAACGACCACAGTTCATATCAGCAACGGTGATTACATACTGCCCAACAAGTCACACATACGCAAAAAACTGGGACAGTTTTGCAGAGACAGGTTCATTCTCATCAAAAGTGTGAGACGGTATTGGGACTACCTGGGGGCACCTGGGAAAAGTCACCTGCCAGAAGGGTACTGGCAGTGAGATACACGAGTGAACTAAGTAACGAACCGCAGATAGTTATAAGGGACTATTCGACGCCTTACTGGCAGTACATCGATGCCAACAACACATGAAAAAAGTGCTACATACAACAGGGGACAATGTGCATGGACTGCCAATGAATCAGACCGGACACCACACTAAACCGTTAACGTACCCTACTAAATAACCTTCTTCCGGGACGACGAATGTAAACACTGACCGGTAGTTACATGTATGCTTGTATGATCAAATCTCAATCCACATTTACTTAGTGTCCTGTGAGAAAAACGAGGTCTGAGTCCGATAGGGAAGTTATCATCCCCTTTTAATTTAATGATTGTTTCAGTGAGGTGAAATTTGCAAGGTTCCCAAATATCCGTATTCTAATCTCCACCAGTGTGAATTTCTCTACCAAGGAATATACGGTGTAGGCATTACGAAGGTTGACGAGGGTTACCCCATTCTTCGGAGTGCTTCACAGCCACTGGAAATTCATGCTATGGGACTTACAGTCCTCGTACATGTTCTTTACAATTCCAGGAGACAGATGTTATGTAATACGTCACCCACCTCGAGGATTCTATGGGCTTCGATTGCAATAAATCAGATGGAGTCAGTGCACATATCCCAAAGGCCAGCATTGCGTTTGCCAATCTGCTCAAATCGTATCACCAATGCGCATGTCACTGGTCCCAAAAGGCACGTGTATAGGAAAAAGGCAAGGATAGTGTTATACCGCTGCAAGAGTTGGTTGATGCGGGCGGATAATTCCTGACATCCTCGGGTGCTACGTATACGAATCTGCAGTCTACCGAGGGCGTTGTTTTCCATGCATAATACGGGATACCGAAACGCCGGAAGGGAGTAGACTATGCCCCAACGGAAGGGATCTGTCATGAAGTGCCTCGGCACCATCTGCGCGATTCGCTGTTAAGAATGGAGCTCACGAAACCTTCCGTGTATTTGGTTGGAGACAGTGACAGTTATACTGGCCAGCCGATTTCAGTGGCACCAAAGCCGTTAATTTCCATTACGACTGTTTGACTTCATGCCGGAGGTATATGCACCTCGGACGTTTTTTGAGTTGATAACATGGCTCTTCATAAATTGATGGGGTAATAAGGCATCAGTGATCGGTGCTAGTGCTGCTCTCAGCGGCAAACTAAAGTGACAATAACCTATCGCCCAACAGGAAGTTTTTGTTCGAGCTAGCAGAGGTCTGCAGGCACTGCATCGTTTTGTGTACGGTGTACGCCCATCCTATTCAAAATCGACGGCAACCTACAAGCAGCAGGACAGTTGCTGAACAGCACAACCATCATGGTACGCTACTTCAAGGACCAGCTCTATCCACCCAAAACGCAGTGACACCCAAAACGCAGTCACACACAGCTGGACGGCGATGGATGCGGAGGGCACCTCTTGTGGCAGATCAGCCGTAATCTTCAATTGACCTAACTTACCTATAATAACGGTTCTTTGAAGCGCAGAACCTCTTTTGTGCAAACAGTTAAAGTGGAGTTGAGCGAACTTGCCACTGTGGTATTCGAACCTGAATGGTCACACTAGCTGCATCCTCACATGGCCAACCTCATCTGTCCAGTTGGTGTGCCAGGACATGGCTAACATCGCTTACATCAACTATGAACAGTCACGTGGAGCCACGGACGTGAGTTGAGTCAAGTAATGATCGGTGTGACTCGAGATAGCTCAGTGATTAAGGCGCGATGTCTACTGTGAAACCATTTCTGTGGTTCTCGTTTTCTGTGCCACTTGCCTGGAAGTTGGGAAACTTACGGTCCCAGATAAATAATCACGATGACAGAACAGCAATCCAGAGCTGGTGGCACACTTGTCACACTTTCGCCACCAGCTAATTCACACTAGACTGCCCAACTGACGATCATTTCGTTCTGAGTTGTGTCAAAGATACGAGGTCAGAAATTCAGGGCAAGTTGAATTTCCATTAATTATACGGGGCAGCAGAAGATTGCCAAACTAATCCGATAAGAGATACACAGTGATTCACCACGCTTTAATTACGACAACTTAAAACATCCAAACTGAATTCAGAAGTCGGACGCTGTGAGAAGCCTCGTTTAAGCAAAGCTTATCAAGTGCCACAGTTGGGGTTAGTCCAGCTGCTCGATGTTTCGAGCAGCGCGGATCATGGTGATAATAATAATAACAGTAACAATAATAGTGATAAATAATCGACAGAGACAGCAACAGAAGTGATGAGGCTGATGCTTGACTGTCGTACAGCCAAAAAATTTGTCTTACTATATTTGAGACCTTAGAATAAAAGGAAGAGAAAAAAGCAGGTGAGAGAAATGGTCCGGTGCCGATCTATCGAAAGCATCGTGAGGTGCCTCCACTCCTAAGCGCTCAGTCACACGATCTGGAAGGAAACTGACATGAGCGCTGCTGACATTGATCAACACCACGGGTGGTCATTACCGGAGGCAGAATTACATGAATAGTGGAACGCCCTGAAACACAACTCGACTTCCGATTTCGAGGTAGAAGATCTTCACCTTGTTCAACTAGGCACGTTCAACGTTAGAGCACTGCTGGAAGCCGTGGTTCGTGTGGCAGCCCAAAAAGCACTGAGGTACGTCAGGTTGAGCCAACCGAAAAAACGCGAAAATAGGACCAAAAAGTCTCTAATGAACCGAATGGCGGGGAGGACACTCTGATGATAGCAATGAAAGTATAATAAACGGCAAATCAATGAATGGGAGATAGACTGGGGATAAACTATTATATCAGGGGTACTGTTTTGAAACAGACGACGTTTGTATTCGTCATGACTGACCGCGGGAAACCAGGAGACTAAAAAATCACTTACTGTTTTTTTCGCTTCGACAAAATCTTTCCGGGGTTTGGAATCAATGCACTTCAGGAATTTTCGAACTTCCGACTTCGTCCACTTGCTTGAAATCGGTACGTAATTGGGTAGATCATCTACCGCATTAGATACGTTATACCCATGCCAATGGAGAAGAATCATAGCCAACTCTTCCGAGTACCTATGTTGACAAG